GTTGACGTTATCCTTGACACTCAGATCTGTTTTATGTGCAGGACTTTGGTGCCTTTACTTCCCCGCAAGTGGAGACGAGCGGCTCTACCAAAAGTGGCGCTCAGACGGTACAGAAATTATTTTCATTTAACGATTTTTGGGTTGTGTTTTTTCATTTAGTTGCCAATTGTTTGTTTTCTCAAGCTTGTTTTTTCCAACACATTATTTATCTTGTCTCTTTGGCTCTTGTTTGTTTGGCTTTGAACACATTTAGACATGGATTTGGGAGAGCAAAATATTACACAAGGCCATCTCTCCTGTTCTGCCAACCCTCACTGGCTTACAGTAACATTACGCCCACTGTGTCCAGGCATAGCAGGATCGTATTCAGGAAATTGATTTTTCTAAAAGAAAGAAGCTTCTTCCTACTGTCTGCTCTAATTGATTTGAATAGGAGTTATCATTGATCATCACCTCATGTGCACCAGAATACAGATTTCAGTGTTACGTAATTTGTGCAATGCTGATAAAAAAAAAAACCTGCCCTCTCTTGTGTTTTGAACGAGCTGATTTATATCCAGACTTAACCCTGATAGCTGTTCACTTGCCTTAACAAGCTCTTACACAATGACAGGGTGAGAGTTGTTGGCAAACAGAAAAGATGGGCGTGTGCTCTCACTCCATCAGGTTTGTCACAGGATTGGTTTAAACAGAAATGTGCGTATGGAGTCGGGCCAACCTTGAGCAAATACCATCCTGAAGCTTTGTTTAAGAGACCAGACAAAACATTCCTTCAATTTTGATTCAGTTTGTCACACAGTCAGTGATTGCGCAGTGTTATAATCAGTGCATTTTCTTTCCCATAGAGTAGCAGTGGTTATTTTTGCACCTCATATCATCATATAGTTCATTTGTTTTGTTGAGACTGGTTATTATGCAGGCTTTTATCTACCAGCAACATTACCAAAACACTCCTGTTACATTTTATTGTTTTCTGTAAATACAACCTCCGAGCTGGAGATCACTTGCGTATGGTAATGATTCACTGTATCAGAGCCCACAAATGGTTAAAAGATTTGTTGTTGGCACATCCAGAGCGGGCAGCAGTCAGTGGTGGGAGGAGGCTCTCTCTGTCTCCGGCTAGATTGGCTGCCATGTCTCATGTTTTGTTTTGGTATCTGCACAGCAAATAGAGAAAGATAGAGAAGTCTGTTTACATGATATTGACCTTGCAAGGACCAACTAATAAAAACAGGAAGTCATAATGAATAATATTTTCACTTTTGTTTAACCAAGAGAAGCGCCGATTGTCTCATGGTGAACCTGATGCTGCTGTTATGGTGCTGGTGAGGCCATAAGCACGATGCCCAGTGAAGGCACTGCGCAGCATAATAATATGCCTTTGTTAGAAGGAAATGCAGACAGACTGGATTTGCGCAATGTTTTATAAAATAATTTCCGTTGCTAAACATTGTGAATACAGCTTGAGTTGCAAAGTTGTGAATCTAGTTTCCTGTTCCTAATTTAGTCACATACAACTGACTCTCATTATATTATATTGTTGGTGTTTCAGTAACTTATTTTATTACCTGTCCTTGTTTAACAGCTAGCCAGCCATGAAATTTTTTTTTCCTTATTGCACTTGGCACATGATACATTCCCATACTGCTTTTTATGAGATACCATTAGGTGATACAATGTGGGTAGCTAAACAAAACACTGTTTCATGTGTGCAAAAAGAAGAAGTAACCAAAATAGCAAACTCTCACAAAATGCACACTCAGTAACTGTGATTGCACAAGATATCTCTTCCCTCCATTTGCTCATTCAGTATGGTCCTTCTTTGGTTTGCTTCTCTTGTTATGTGCAGTTTTTTTTCACAGCATAGCTCTGCAGCCTCTCTCTGTCTCGCATAACACTGTGGGTACACACTAAACATAAACCACAAAAGTACAAAATTGCAGGAAAATAAAACTGCCTCCTTATTGTCTCTCAGGGAGAGCGCCGCATCCGTTCAGCCAGCCCCACCAAAGGAGTGTCTGCGAGGAGCCCGGCCAGCGCCCTTCTGCCACCATGTCCTCAGTCTGCTCCAGTGCAAGCAAAGACCAGCTCAGGTTCACCCAAAACTATCTTCCCCTATCCCTCCCATCAGGACTCCCCACCCAAGTCCCCCCGGCGTCTAAGCTTCAGTGGTATCTTCCGCTCCTCACCCAGCTCCACACCTGCAAGCATCAAAATCTTCTCCAGGACCAGGAGAGGTGAGTTGAAAATCTAACATGGCACCGAGTGACTCATGATGCACTTGTTGTTGGTGGAAACTGAGAGAGTGACTGTTACTGACGTCAGCTGGAGGATTGACTGCAACTCTATTTTTACATTTTATATAAATGCAACTAAGGAGCACTGTGAAATATAGTTTTTCATGTGGTGATAATACAGATCAGTGTTGCAGTAATTTGGTGCAAGAGCAGATCTAGGTGCAAACCCATTTTAGAGGAAGTAAGACACAATAGATGAAACTATGTAATCTCAAAGATTATTTGGTTTTCCTGCTCTACATACAAGGTGAAACCACATGCAGGAACCTGTGTCTATCTGATTTGAGTTCACCAGTTCAGCTATTTAGCAAGCCTATGACAGAACTGACATAAAAACATGTAATGCAACATTTTTACACATGGGGGGAGGAGGAGGAGGAGGAAGTAGAAACCTACATTTCCTCTTGGTAAAGAAAGAAATAATCCGCTGCTTTGTTTTATGATGCACTACAGGCCAAAGTGGTCACGAGTCTTGTCAGAATGCAGATGGATGTTCCTTTTATTATCAGTCACCCTATTATTGGTGTCAACAAGTTTCTCTAGGAAAAGGAAATGGCTGGCTTTGTCTATTGTCCGAATCAAAAAGGAATGTTTTTAGCTACGAATTCCTAACACTTAACAGTGTATTTAAGTTCCAGTTTATCAGATTAAGTTTTAGGTTTGGTATCCTACAGGTAGCAAGAGTCTAGTAGTACATTCTCCATATCCTAATTGAAACTCAGTAATGATATAATGGTAACACTGGTATTCGCAAAGCATTGGAAATGAGACAGGGTAGGCAGAACAAGGCCTTGTTTTATGAAGAACAGACCTGGGCAGATTTTCAGCTCTCATGTCTCCATGTATTTGGGCGGCCGATTATTACATAACAAAAAACAGCATTTTTTTACACGGAAACAGCCCTGCTGGAAGCAGCATCAAACGGCACAAAGATGAGTCATATGTTTTTGGCTCGTACACACACCCATTCTTCTGTTTCCTCGCTGAGGGTCAGTTTGGCAGTGGCTGGTGGAATAGTTCTGTTAGGGCCAGACCTCAAGAGTCAGCATGCTCTGTTTCCTCTGAAGATTGTTACTGATGGTAACCAAACTAAAAGGCACCAAAACACACCAACTGCTACAGCCTTTTCATGCCAGCTGCTCAGGATTTCTAGAGTCTGATGTGGTTTGAGACATTACATCCTCTCAGTTTCTTTTCTGGGTTCCTTTTCTGAGTAGTGATGTGACTTTTAAATAATCGGGTGCCAATGATAATAGCAACAAAGTATCGCTTATAAATTAATATCATACAGTGCAACTGAGTGGGCACACCATCTTCTCTATTTTTATTAGTGGTGGATGTTTTTGTTGGCACCCTACTTTCGCCACAAGGGTGTGCTGAAGGCATTGTCTTGTCTTGATTTGGTTCTCAAAGTAGTTTGGAATAAGCTGTCAATTTTTAATTGATTAAACAATTATTATTATCAGTATTTTTCTTTTTTTTTTTTTTTTTTACTATTTCAGTTAACAGGTATTTTTCAGATTTTGTATAATTTGCATTTTTGTCTTAGATATATCTATCAGGTGTTTTCTCAGGTGCATTTATATCCATATTTGCTACAAACATGATGAAAATGTCTCCCTTATTCCCATCTGGTCTAAATATGTGTCTTCCCATCGCCTGGACATTGTCAGTCCCTCATTGCTGAAGGCAACTGTAGCGCTTTCATACCCTTATCTGGAAGTGACCAGACTCTCAGGAGCTCCTCATACAACCATGCAGATCCCCCCCCCCTCCTCTCTCTCTCACTCTCTCTGTTGCTACTGTGTGCTGTATGTTGTCAGTAAATAAAGGAACCGGGCAGTTTTGACTTTCCAAATTCATAAAACACAGGCCTTACAAGGGCAGACTGATTTTATCTTGAGTGGAAGCTAAGCTCGGGAATAGCTTAAGAAAATGCACCTCAGATACGTAGGTGTGTGAATAAACAGTATTTAAAATCCTCATGGACTTGGAAGTGAGTTCATTCAGTTAGGATAATGAAAATTTTATCACAGTGACCATCACAGGATATTTGAGGGGACTGATTTCATCATTGATATTTCAACCCCTCACTCACATTGGCCATTGACCCACTGAGCGGAGTGGAACACTTGCATAACATGTTAATTGAGATCTGTGCTGGACATGCTGTAGCTAATGTGAGCAGCAAATACTGAGTGGGCCATCTGTTAAGGGTAGGGGAGACTGGTGGTATTGAATGGAGGCTTTCTGATCAGCTGACAGAACATGGGATGTCCCCCTGCTGTCATCTGGCCTCAGCAGTCTTAAAGGTCAGTCCCCCAAAAGTTACAGACAACTGACTGTACAAATGACAGAGCTGCAGAACTCCCAGCTCAAAACCACAACCTTTATGTCTTTATTTGTAATCCCCTTTAATGTTGAACCGCAAATTCAGAGGAATTAAAAATGAAGTTTTTATCTGAGGGTATGCTGAGATTGTGTGACCCTGAATGATTGTTACATTGTGTGAAGACAGAGTGAGACAGATGTGCCTGTGCTGACTTTACTCTGTGGGAAGAGGGAGGGCAGTGGAAGGGGGAGGCGGAGAGCCTCTGCAGCCTGAGCCAATCGCCAGTGTATCCCTCATAGACTGGCCTCCTTTTACAGGCTGCTGACATGCGTGCTATATTAAAGAGACGCCACCCACAGCTGCACCTGACAATTTACAGCACTGACACCGGTGTAGAGGGAGAAAAAGGCGCTCCGGTCCCAGTTGTTATTTGCATCACTCGCGAGAGGAAATTTTTTCAGCTGAAGTTGCTTGGAATTTACTGCTTTCATACTTCATGTCTTTTCTATCAAATGTATGAGTTGACACAGATAGCGGGCATTGCTTCCTGCTGACTCTGTGCTCCGTGGCCCTGGAGGTTGTTGGGTTTTCTTTTTTTTCTTTTTGCCTGCATATGCAAGCTTAACCCTGCTACGGTTTTAATTTTCTGTTTGTAGCTAGTTGTACTGTTGGATTTCAACTTTGTGGAATAGCAAAACATTGTTTTTCTTCTGCAAAAGAAGCCAGATATATGTTGTTGATCCATCAACTGAAGATGCCCAGGGTCTTCCTTTTAATAAAAAAGACCATCTCTCTTCTTAAGACAGACTGAAAGGCTTAAAAGACAAAAACTATTCTCTAGATCTGTCGCCTTTTCAACGCAATTTCTGTACAACTTTCTTCATTTAGTAAATGGAGTAACTCTCTTTTAAGAATTTTGAGACATCTCTGGGCCCCATCGTGATGCGGATGGTCATGGTCAAATTTAGTTTTGAACTCACAACCCACTGCGTTCCATGAAGAGGTTTGGGAGCCTGAGGAGGAGCAAGAAACGGAAGGAGCAAGATGGGCTAGGAGGGAGGCATCAGTCCGAGGCGTCATGTCTGTCTGGTAATGTGCCACGCTCTTCGTCCGCTCCATTACTCCTTTATCTTGAGATTTTCCTGCAGCGTCTTCCAGTAGTCCAGTGATCTATACTTTCATCTAGTGAAGCCAGTCACATGCCAGCACTCCTTTTCACGGACATTCTATTGTAAACTTGAATGAATAATTTGTTCTGAACTCCAGTTCCATCTAAAGATTGAACATTACAGGAGTTATTCTGCTCATAGCAAAAGTCTATGTGTCTGAGTGTCTATTTTTTCTAACATATATGATATATGTAGGTGCTAAATGCTGAATGTTCATTGTGGCCTTAGGTGCTCCATATAGTTTAGGTGCTGGTTACATTGCTGGTTTCTGGTTTCACAAATGCATGCAGTGCATCTGTGCAAAGTTTGTAGTCATCCTGTCATTATGTTTTAGTAATTTATGGTGACTGTGTCTGACTGTGTCAGTTCAATGTCATTATTTCTGTCCCATATCCTAAGGGAGTCACTTCAGAATAGCTGCTCCATTTTGAAAACTTAATCAAATTGACAGGAAGCATTTCAGCTGTAGTAGAGACAGTCAGAACATGCTAAGCTAAATTTGTAGGCCTTTATCCTATATAAGCATCTCCATACATGTTTTCATGCCAGGAAGCAGGCCATGAATAGTGACATAACAGATGGATGCCAAACAAAAAGCCCAGACCACTGTGCAGCTTTAATGCAGTTATTGTATTGTTAAGTGTGAGCTCATAAGGCCTTATGAGTGAAGCACTGGGACACACTGCGGGGCGTTCAAGTGGCACTTTATCACAGACTGTACAGCTCCTGATTTAGAGCCAGTCTGACCTCGGTGGAGTAGATGAGAGGAGCAGAGCCCTGTCATCATGATGTACGTCCATATGTGGCTGTATAAGACGCAGAGTTCATCGTAAAGGTGGTATACGACGTGGTGACACCTCAGTCTAAAACATACGTCTTTTGATCCAGAGCCTCTCTACACTGTGGAAGTGCAACTATGCCGCTTACATTGTTCACTGCACTGCTTTAAGAAGCCAATATCTACGTGAGATATTTCAGTAGTTGCCAGTTGGAGAACGTCTGTGTGCTTCTCGGCAAAACATCGTACGTCAGCTTGAATTGTGACTGCAGTTTGCACACCTATGTGAATTAGTGAATCTTCCATTACCGAAGTGCTGAACAGTCACGTCCTTTGTTACAGAGAGCTTGCATTATAGCAGACCTAGCAGATTGGTTTGAAACCCTTTTTGCTAATTGGGGTCACTGACTGTCATATCACCATATCACCTATTGTTTCACAATCCACTCACCAGTTCTAGCCAATACAAACATAGTCATTCACAGCTGTGATTCAATGCATTACTCGGCTGGCCAGAGACGGCTGCAGCAGCACATCCCTTGAGCCTGTCGCAGCCTCACTACTGCTCTGGCATTGACCAATGAGGCTCATGTTGCTTACCGTAGCCCCACTTGATTGAAAGCACCCTGTCGACTCCTCAGGGGGAACCCACACTGAGGATCTGCTTTTATGGCTTTTACGTTAACACAGCTTGCAGTAAATAATAATAGAACAGCCAAGTGTGATTATCCTGTGCTAATCTCCTACGCTCTGAGTAGCCTCTGAACCTCTGAATCATTACCCGCATAGATTCACTTGAAAAATTACTGAAATTATAAGTTGATTAAGAAAATAATTTATTTTTTATTCAATGAAGTAATAGTTTCAGCTCAAAATGTGAATTAGGGCTATAATTAACAATTATTTTCATTTATCTGTATTATTTTCTTGATTAACCGATTCATATTTTGGTCTTTTAGTATGAAAAGTTCTCATCTCCTAACGCAATTTAGTCTCCTAAATCTCACATGGACATCTTAATGTTGCTTGTTTAGTCTGACCAGTAGTTCAAAGTCCCCAAAATACTAAGTTTACTATCACATAGGACAAAAAAGCAGTAAATTCACAATTTAGGAGCTGGGAACGGGGAATGTTTGGCATTTTTTACTTAGATAATAAAGGGATCTACTCTCAAAATAGTTGTAGATACGTTTTCTGTGAGATGAATCAGCCTAATGAGATGTTAACCTCACAAATCAATGCTGCTTATGTCTCTGTTTTGTATAGATATTATATAGACTAGTGAGTAAGGTTTCTTTGTGTGTGTGTAAAGTGAGATGAACTACTTAGATCCATTTCCTGTTTCCTGGGTGGCGTCTAGCTGCCCCCTATTAACCAGGCTGCGGAGAGGTCTCCCAGCCCTGCTGTTATCTCCTCCTGTGGAATGTGCCACAACAGCGTGGCTAAAATAAGAAGGCTACACAGCGGAAGCAGGGTATGCCAAAGAGGGCTGGTGCATGCCAACTAAATGTCAAGAGATAGTGTGCAGTGCACTCAGACAGACCAAGGAAAAACGGGGCTTCATTTATGAGAAATGTCTCCTAACTAGATCTTTTAATTTTCTGTTTGAAGATTATATTTTGATTGCAGAAAAAGCCTATCGCAGGAAATTAGTTAAAATCATTGTTTCATATCGATCACAATACTTCTACACTGGTTCATTTAAGAGTATGCACAACTTGTTAACCTTTTTTATGATGATCCTACATACTTACATTACGGAATAATGATCTCAGTTTGTTTCATGTGACTGAGTCAAGTGGGATGATTTACTGATACGTATTCTTGTATTTTCATGCCAGTGGTTGAGTCCTCATGTGACATTTACATACTCTTGGCTTTACTGTCACACCCGTGTATGATATGTGGACACAATAAAAGTCAACTGTAACGCTAATGGTGGAGCCCTTGTGATGTGAACCATTTGGTCCACATCACCCATGTTGCTCTTTGTCTGGCCTCAGAAATATGTCAGCAGGGTGGAGCCAGGGCAGCGTGAGTGTCGCATGTCACCCTGCGTAAGATTGTGATGCTTGATGTAGAAGAGCATGTGAGGTCTGTCATGTGACTGACACCTACAACCGGACACTGCTGCAGGAGGAGCTGCGTCACAGACAGCTGACTGTCGCCCTGGAGTTAAGTTTAATGCAGCTGCTTATGTTGTAATCGGCCTAGTTATTGTGGAGGGGCGCCAGGGACAGGAAAAGACATCCTGCATGATTCATTGTGTGTGTCTTTTCCCAATATTGATTCATTATTGATTGCTTTTAGATCATTCATTTAGATGAGTTGAGCTTTGGAGTGCTATTAATTAATTTTTCATTAACACAGAGTGATGCAGATGTCAACAGCTGTCAGTTCACTGCATTGTTATTAAGGAATATGCCAGTGAAATGATTAAAGCCTAAAGTTAGTGGTTAAAGATCTATCTTAATAAATGCATTTTAAAAAACAAATGACAGATGATAAAAGATTACTGACATTTACATTAAAATGTGCAATAAAACTAAGTGTAAAAACAGAACCATCAGTAAATAAGCAACCTCATGGTTCTAATTAGGGCTGCACAATATGGTAAAAAAAAAAAACATATTAAGATTATTTTGACAGACTGGCAAAAGAACAAGATTTGCACTTGGCAACATGCGATTTTGATAATATTTTGATTAATTGTGCAGCCCTAGTTCTATTCAGTTATTCTTTTTAACAACAATGAGGGTTTTTAGCCTTCACAGTTGCTTTATCATGCACATTTTAATGTAAAGACATGTCGCCAAATTGTCACAATAAAATTTTAATGAGGTCTCAACAAGTGATAGATATTATTTGGTCAGTCGATTAATCGGGCCGATTATCTGGCTTATTGAGATAATCGACATCGGCCGATGTCTGCATACACATCTGCAGACCGCCTTTCAGTGTGGCTGCTGTGGGACGATGTTGGCGCTCCTGTTTGTGAGTTTTGGGGAGGCGGTTAAAAAGCTGGTTGGAAGCCCTGTACTATAACTTTAATTCATCCTGCTGTAAACATATGCCTGAATTCCCTATATAATAGAATAGAATTATACATCACTTTTCTTTGTTTCAATATCGGCATTATAAATCGACCATTGTCTGCCCTGCTCTCTAAATATCGGCATCCGCCACTGAAAAAACCATAGAGATGATCCCACACAGGATTCAAGCCACCTCTTCCTGGCCTAAGAGTGTCTCTAATTTAAAGTCTGGATGAAAACCAACTTTAAAACAAAACGAGTATACAATTATAAGACACACCAGTGAAGGGATCAACATAAATTAAAAGCACCCCCCACATGTGTTTTCACTTCTAGCTAATTACAGTGGAAGTTGGGTGGAGCTATGCTGTAATTACTGTAAATCCCCACACTGTCCGCAGACATGGACCAATCAGGCAAATTAAGTGAAAACACCTGAGCTGAGCTTGTGAATCATATAAAATTTAGTAGATTTAGATTTATTTAAAGACACAATGAAATAGAATTATTCATTTAATGGCACATTTAAGGAAGATTTCATAATTGTGTAGGTTTTTTACAGTAAATGCATATTTTAATCTTAATGAATTTCAAGATTTTTTTAAATGTATCACTGAAAAAAAAAAATAATATTACGATTGCTCAATCCACCTTGCATACCATGTGACCACATAATCTGCTAGGGGTCTCCTTCCCCTTGTGAACTTTTCATTTACAATGGGTGTATGAAATAACAAACTCGTTACAAAAGAGTAGCCCCACAGTAAATACAAAATAAATCTTGTTTATTTTTCAGTGAGTCAGTGTTTATTTAATTTGAGTGTTTATTTATTTGAGGCAGTAACAGTCTGGACTCTACACCTTTAAGTTACTTTGCCTTTTTATGTTTGTTGAATATTTCTATTAAAGCTAACACATCCCCCAATTGTTAGTTGTGTAGCTGTCTTTGTATTGTGGTTTACCAAGTGCATCCATGCCTGTCAGTGACTGGGCTGAGGCTTTATCTCTATGTATCTGTTTTATTCTCAGTACTCAGGACTCTCTCATGGATTAGATATGCATTCCTTCTCTATTATAGCATGTGATGGTATCTGCAGCAGTCACGATTGTAGCACCTCAGCCTTGCCAGCTACAGTAAGCCTATCAACAATGTCAATCCGCACTGCGTTTCAGTGTCACTCAGAACGCAGTATGGATTTACGTCGAGAGAAACAAGAGATGAGTTGTGGTATCTATTGTGGACCTTTTTATCTCACTGCAGTCTCAGGACTCTCTACACCACCCACCACCCCAACCCAGTCATCCAGCCAACCCGTGTTCACCCAGGAGGCCCAGCCGAACAGGCCCAGCCCCGAACGCCTGGAGCCGAGCTCCAGATCCCGCTCACTCTCCACACCTCCAGACACAGGACAGCGCCTCAGCCTTCCCTCTGCTAAACCCCCAATCCCTTCCTCAAGCCCCGTGCCATCTTACTCTACCTCACAACAAGTAAGTCACACTGGCAAATCATTTTAAGGAGCCGAGTTAAATGAGATCTACTTTAAACATTCATTCATTATTTGTTTGCCTTGGGACAGTTTTAGATTCTGCTTGTGAACTCTAAACAATAAATGAATGTGGCTATAACTGTGTTAAATAGATTCAGTTGTGTCTTCTTTCACCATTCAACTTAGTTATGTTAGAACATAAACATAACTTTGGTGTATTGACTTGGCATCTAATGGCTCCACAAAGTCAGTGCACCCTTTCTCGTTAATGGAGAAGAGAAATTTCACATCACAAGTACAAAACTAGTTTAAAGCTCACCTCTACAATTTCTAGCTTTAGGAGAGAGTGGTGTGAGTTCACAAGTAATGACTGAATTGTCCTGGGCCTCAGGAATAACATATATATGTGAATTCCTAAAATAGGTGAAACATTTATTGCTGTTATTCAAAAATAAGACTGTGAATGTGGCTAAATATGCATGTAAAATGTTGTATCTTTGCACTAAATTAATATCGGTAATATGAATTAATGTTTTCTGAAAGTACTGATAAATACTGGGTCACAGGACGTTGGAACTAATAACTATTTTTTTCCTTTCTGGCTACAAAACAGTGGCTTTCTGTCCATGAGTCATGTGCTACTTTACTCAGCGTCATAAGGATTTACTTGGGCAGTGGTGAACAGAAAGCAAGGATGATACAAATCTCTTAAATTCAAGCTGTGATACTGGAGCACACTGTGTGTCAACAGGGCTGTGTATGCACTATTTGCTCTGAGCAGCAGTGGCAGAGGGTGTAAATATTGTCTCGGCATTGAAGCGATATCTCAAACAGCATTAGATGACGGTCTAAGCGGGTCGACTGTTAACTGCAAAACAGCTGAGAAGTAGCTCAGGGTTTTTGTCACAAGGGTTTTGGTTGTGGGTTTTATTTAGGATTTACCACAGTCTGTGTCGGCGTGTGATACCAGATTTCCCACAGTTGGTGAGGAATTACTTCTGTGTCCATTTAATGAATACTTATCTGAAGGTCTGTCTCGACCTGTCTGCTGTGAGTGATCGTGGATTCTAGCCAGAGAGGGTAAATCAATATTTCATCACCAACATTGTATACTATTGATATTAACACCCAAGGACTCATGACTGTGGTTGAAGAGCAATGAGTCAGTGCCTATCGGCTTCTCTCTGCTCCCCCTTCCTCCCTCCGTCATACATAAAGGAGGCTCACAAAATAATCTTCTGTTGCTGTAGTTAAAGTTTTGCCAAATCCAATTTCAAAAGCAATTAATTTAATGGATTTGTGGATGTCAGCTTCCCTGGAGTTTGCTGTAATGCCAATGCAGGCTGCGTGCCCGCTGTGATGCAGCAGGGCAAGATTTATGAAAGTGCAGGAGTAGTTTTTTGGCGAGAGAAGCGCTGTGTCACCATTGCAGGGCGACACTGGGGACTGTTTAACATCCCAGAGCAAGGTATGCAGGCTTTCTCATACTGCTGCAGTGCCTTGCTGTGGATGTACTTGCAAATTAGGGACCGAGGGAAATCGTGTATCTACAAGCAGCCTTATGAGTATGCAAATCTCTCAGCATGACACAGCAGATTTAATGCTGGGAACTGGCCTACAGTACATTGTGTGCTGATGCAAATGAAGCTGTTTGCATCTCATTTTTTTCAAGTTGCCGCACCACAAAGACCCTCCAAAGATTTGTTTTTATATCTCAGCCCTGTTGCTCGTGTTGTCAGAAGAAATTAACTCTGAGGATGTGACAAAGGCATCCCCAGCTTCTTGCTGCTAAGCAACGTAAGGGATTTCCTAATATGGTGAAGCAGCCAGGTTGCTCTGCATGGAGGGGTGTGTCCACAGCGCGTGTAGCTTCCTGCTTTTTTTCCTCCACGCTGCATTGTAAGAGAGAGTTTTCCAGCGTGGTGAGTGTTGTTTGGCGGATTATAACTACAACAATGAATTCGGCTGATTTTATTGTGGTGGGATTAATTCTCGCACGGCCGCGTAGTGGCTGTTGTTGGGGAGCTTGTCGGTATTGGTTCCCCCCTGCTGCAGCAAATGGATCAGGACTGTTCCATTCCCGAGTTTCAAGTGGGGGTGTGTGTGTAGTCTAATAATAATGTGCCACTAAAGTTGTAGATCCAAGGCACAAGGTTTTTGTCACGTTAACTGTGTATATTTAGCGGACCTGGATGCGCATTATGTAATCAGTAAAACCCCGGTGGCGCACGGCGTTTTTTGTTTTTTTTCATGCGTGTGTGGATGTTTTGGTGTTCTTGCGCACTGCTCTCAGTGTGATCAGTCTGGTGTGAAAAAGTCGCTTCACCCTGCTGTTCACTCACTATTTACAGCAAAGTTTTTGTCGTGCGCTGCCGTGTGTTGTGGTGAAGATTTGCTGCGCATCTTCACCGCAAACTTCTGCTTTCCCCCCTCGCAGGTCTACGGTTTATTCGAAGGCATGCTGGAGAAACTTGAACTAGATGACGATGGTAAGTGTCTGCTACCTTCAACGCAATAATGAAATGTGACCTCATAACATCAGGATATCACAGGTATTCCAGTTGTTTGTAGCCAAAGGGAAAGCCAGACCATGCTTTCTAATATCAGAGTTAAATGTGTTTTTAAAGACTGTATTCGCAGTGCGCCGTATGCAGCGTTTGCTCAGTCCCTTCCAGGAACATCCAGTGATTCATCCGCTTTGAATTGTGTCAGAAATGTGAGGGATTTCCTTTACAGACGGCTGACATTACCGGGTAGTAATCATAATAGATCCGTGTATCTAAAAGTCTCAGTCGAATATGTTCTCAATGAGAATTTTAAGCAGCGGTCTTGATTAACGATGAGAGATACCCGTGCACTGCTGGAGATTACTTGCATTTAAAAGAGATATTCAACAGGCCTCCTGTGTACATTTTATCATGGTAATTAAAGCTTTTGGGGGTATTGTCTTGCAGCATGTGAGTACAACTGCATCTAAAGAGGGGGGGAAAGTATTATTTATCTTTAATCTGTTAAATATATCAGAATAAAGTCTCATCACAAGTACCCCAGAGATATATCCACAGCTTAGTTGTCTGACTAACAATCCGTTTTTCAATTTACAAGGATAGAATACAGGGAACGTCAACACATTTTTAAGTTTGAGGAATTGGGAACAAGCAAATGTTTTTATTTTTACTTCCTAGTAAATAATTATTCATTTCTATTTGTCGGTAAACTGAAAGTGTTTCACTACCACATATGAGCGGAAAAATGCTGTATTCCTAGAAGTTCCTACAGCACTTTGCTGTCTGTGTTTTTCCACTGTTTCTGTGCTTGTTGTTGAGCTTAATTATCAGTAAGATGAAGCAGTAAAGTGGCTGTAAGTGGTCCAGAGCCGTAATGGTTATTTAGGCTTTGAGAGTGTGTTTTGTTTCTAGGCTCTCATTATATATTCCCTGTGAGATTTCTCCTTCCCCTAAAAGTATTTTCCTCCTTTTTTTTTCTTCTTACAGCTGCTGAACCTGAGAGTGATATTTACATGCGCTTTATGAAATCCCACAAATGCTACGACATCGTCCCCACAAGCTCCAAACTGGTTGTGTTCGACACGGCGCTCCAAGTTAGTACTGTGACAAAATAATGTTTCTTTGGCCTGCTGACGAACCTTTGTATGATATTGAGGTCGTTTGTCTTGAGTACCGAAGGAGACAAGTTAATGTTCAATAAAGTAAGCCTCAGGGCTGTTTCTATGAGACGGTTGGTGAAATCGTAATAAAGCTGTTAAACAGTAATCCTGCGGAGGTCTGAACGCTTTGATGTGTAGATCTTCGACCACTAAATCCACTGAAGCTCGGAGTTAAGTATCCTTATCTAAAAGAGAAGGAAATACTAAAAACAACACAGAGCCATTGAGAGTTCAAAATGTGCTTCACAAAATACGTCACAAGTATTCATTAAAATAACTCATCGGATGAGGGCTGCAAGATTATTTTCGAATTTTGATTACCAGAATTGTTGTTGATTAATTTTCATCAATCAATTAATAGATTAAGTGTTTTAGCTCCAGGAAAGATAATCACATATTGTTGTGAAGTACTGTGTGATCTTGCTGTATAATCTAATTAGACTGTTCTGAACAGGTGAAGAAAGCGTTCTTTGCCTTGGTAGCCAACGGTGTGCGAGCTGCTCCACTATGGGACACAGAGAAGCAAAGCTTTGTGGGTAAGAACCCCAAAACCTGTCTGCTCTTATCACATACTAAAATAACTGTTTATAATGTGTTGGGAGTAAGGTTTTCATTGGTAGTTTTTGGTTTAGAAAGAATTTTGAATATAAAGCTGCAGAGTATGCCTGTTTTCCTAGTTTACAGTTTTCTAGATTAGTTTCTCATATTTGTTGCTGTTCAGGTCAAAGGTGGGTGTATTTTACAAATCATAAATACCATTGGACCAAATAAAGAGATTTAATTTGCCTGTCTGTCAAACACCATCTCCAAAAAACAACAACGCTTAGCAATGAAATGTAAACTTTGCAACAGAAAATATGTTTAGATGCCTTTATTCTTCTCACCAGCTCTATAGATCTGACTTTAGTACCTTTTTAATGAGACTTCAGTGTGCAGTCTACATATTGTTAGTCCACAGTTTCTTTTAACTGAGATGGAAAATATTTTTGCTGTGCTGGTGCGCAATTGCTAAATGAACACAGAGGAAACTCTGTATTAATGCCTCTGGTCCAGGCTAGTGGAGCGTAATGCTATATTGAGCAGAAGTCATTAGAGCTGTCATAAACCATTAAGCACAGCAATGACTCCTCAGTATTGACCGGTGCTTAGACAGGATGGAGAAAATATTTCATAACAACAACAAAAAAAAATCTCTGCAGACTCTAAAAAATAAACCTTCTGTTAGAAAGACGTGAATTGGCTTTGTTGTGCTGATTTCTCTTCCTGTGTGGAGTTTATTGCAAGTCAGCCTGTGATTAATAATGAATTCCCAGTCAGCGTGAGGGTTGGTGGGGGCAGTGATGTGTTGTTGGGACCACGCCCTTATAGGCGCTGTCTCTGCTGCCTATTTGCATAATGCCTGCAGGCACAGCCCTTTTATTTTGTGTATAGATTCCCATGTGTTTTAATGTATGTTTTCATCGCAGGAATGCTGACAATCACAGATTTCATCATCATACTACACAGATACTATAAGTCACCGATGGTAGGTCCACTCGATAGATAATGTTTGCATGAGATGTGCTTCTTTCATTGAGGATCTCTGTGTTGTTTTTTTTCTTAAACCAACGTCTATTTCTTGTTGCGTTTCAGGTGCAAATTTATGAATTGGAGGAACATAAGCTTGAGACGTGGAGAGGTTAGCATCATGATCATACTGTTATGTATGTGTAGCATGAATAATGTAACATTATAGCACTGTTTTATAAGCAGAATTTAAAATATTTTCAAAATATTTCCTCTTGCTACACAGAGGTTTACCTTCAAGCTACATTCAAACCTCTGGTCAACATATCACCTGATGCAAGGTACATAGTCTGACTGTTAATAATAACTATTTCTGTTTCTACACATTTTTTGTGTGTATGTGATTGTTCTTCTTGTAACTGGCCTTTGTGTTTGTCCTGTTGCAGCTTGTTTGATGCAGTGTACACCCTCATCAAAAACAAAATTCACAGACTGCCTGTCATCGACCCCGTCACGGGGAATGCACTTTATATTCTCACACACAAGAGGATCCTCAAGTTCCTCCAGCTTTTTGTGAGTCCCACACAATCACAGTCAGTCTGCCTGAGAAGGAGTGTTTAGCTTGCATTGTATTTTAATCCACAGTATATGATGGATGATTATGACTAAGCTGGGCACTGACTTTAGCTTCTCTGCTGCCTCCTAGTGGTCAATGTGGAGATTAATTAAAATGTGACAATGAATTGGGTGGAAAATAATCGCACTGCCCCTGCTTCACTGTGTGTGTATTTATGTTCTCCAGATGTGTGAAATGCCAAAGCCAGCTTTCATGAAGCAGACTCTCGGGGAGCTGGGCATTGGTACGTACCATGAAATTGCTTTCATCCACCCGGACACGGCCATCATCAAAGCACTCAACATCTTTGTGGAGAGACGAGTGTCTGCCCTGCCTGTGGTGGATGAATCAGGTAAGATCACAAACTGCAGTGCTGACATTGTATCATGATGAAAATACTGAATTCACCTACTTACTTACTGGAGATCTTCATGTTCTCTTTCAGGCAAAGTTGTGGATATTTACTCCAAGTTTGACGTGATTGTAAGTAGAAATTTCTACAATTTCTGTTTTTGAAGAGACAAAATGTTCAAGGTTAAACTACTCTGTGATTTATTGTCTCACTTTGACAATGTGCTTTCGCGCGCGTGTGTGTGTGTGTGTGTGTGTGTGTGTGTGTGTGTGTGTGTGTGTGTGTGTGTGTGTGTGTGTGTGTGTGTGTGTGTGTGTGTGTGTGTGTGTGTGTGTGTGTGTGTGTGTGTGTGTGTGTGTAGAACTTGGCTGCTGAGAAGACGTACAACAACCTGGACATCACAGTGACACAGGCTCTGAAACATCGCTCTCAGTACTTCGAAGGAGTCATGAAATGCCACAAAATGGAAACAATGGGGACCATTGTAGACAGAATAGTCAAAGCTGAAGTGAGATTTTTAAAACACACACATACATACATTTAGTTACCCAGAAGTAACCACAGGACTGATGTGATGTTCATCTGTAATTGTGTCTATTGTGATTTCTGCCAGGTGCATCGGTTGGTGGTGGTGGATGAACGCTCCAGCATCGAGGGCATAGTCTCCCTGTCGGACATCCTCCAGGCTCTGGTTCTCAGCCCCGCAGGTATAGATGCTCAACATCGCTAGCCTCAACTCCCCTTCTGTCCTGGACCCTGAGCTCCTTCCCCCACCCTGCCCTCTAACCCTGTCCCGGGTAGGAAACGTACCTATTTTACTCCCAGCTGGTTGTCGCCTGTGGCTGGCTGTAAGATGGCATGGTGCCTGACCCCGCTGTGTGCAGCAGTGTTGTGGAGATTTTTGTGTCAAGACGAAAATCCAAGAGACTTCACTCCTGCCGGTTTAAAATTAAATCCAGTGCACTGAAATATATTTGATATATACCTCATTATACAGCAGCTTTGGGGGGTAACTGGTAAATTGTGTCTGTATTGATAAGTTAATATTGATAAATACAGTAGATATCATTTTAACATCCTCCAAAGTTGGTTAGGAGCCTGTTCACAGTTTGATGGATGTAAGGGGATTGATGCCGACACATTACAGGCAGCAGTGATTAGAAAGAGATCTCAACAACATAAACTGAGGTCAGAATGAGGTTAAATGTACTAAATCAAAACTATTCTTTCATGTATTTCTAACTTAAATATAATAAAGTGTGTAAACTACAGCAAAAAGCTGTACAGCATGAATAGGGTTGTAAGTTAAAGTAACGTGCATTATCCACTGTTACTATTTAAAACGAGTGGTTCACAAGTTAGACTTTGCTTTGCAAAACGTCGAACAAAGTTGGTTTTGAATCACAGTATTTTTAATGTAAACTAAAATCTAACCCGTCCCATGCAGAGGCTGTACGTATTATAGATTCTGCTCAGCTATGTTTGGCTTTTAGTAGATGTAGTTGCATTTTGCCAGTAGCAGTCTCTGCTTTGATGTGAATGTTCTGTATTGATACACTTGATAACAACTAACTGATGTCTGCATAATTGTAGTGATTTCAGTTTTGGTGGTTTGCTGTGTTCAATCAGTAATGCACTGTGAAGAAAACATGACACACTTTCAACCCAAGCTTAAATGAAATGTTTATATCATCATTTATATTTGTGCGTAACACAACCTGTTTTTTTTTAAATAACCAGTCTGCTGCAGCTTCTCACTGGGTCTAAACAAAGTCCAATGGGGCAGTGGTTCAGGGCTTCAAAAAGAATGAATGAATAAATCTTGTTTTTAAAAACAGGAAACTCAGTTTAGACAGACATGGCAGAAAGAATTATGCTTACTTCTACACACAGAAGAGTGAAAAATAAAGTCATTAAAACTGTCTAGAAGCATTGATTTGTGAAAATGTTTTGGTAGAATGTGAAAATACATTATATATACTGAAGATTTATCATGGTGATGTTTTCCTAGGGAGCTCCTGCTGCAGTTGTGCGTAGTTATTAATGATGAAAATGTATGAAAATCTTTCAACAAGATTTGGGTTAAATATCAGTAATCCTGTTTATGCAGTGCGTTTATTTACGCAGCGTGTCCTGACTGGTGCTCTTTCTTCTCCGCAGACGCCTGCAAGGAGGAGAACCTGACTGAGTGAGAGGGAGGAAGCATCAGCTGAAGTGGAGACATGGTGGGAGTAAATACGTTTCTGTCTAAGGTTGAGGTGGGGAGCGTGAGGCTGAGCAGAGCCGGTCTGAAGGTCCCAGAGACGCCTGCAACTGATGCACTATAGAGGCTTAGAAACCAAAGAGCTAGACAGCTGAATGAAGTGGAGTTCTGCACTGAGGATTGATTTTCTGAATTTCTTTCTTTTTGTTTGTTTGAACACTGATCAGAAACACACACACACACACACACACACACACACACACACACACACAGACGCATTATGGACACCAGCTGGGGTAAAAAAGGTGGGAAAGTTGAGACTAATGAATTAGGGCTTCAGTGTTTTGGGTTGTGTAGTAGATCATGCTGCCGTCATCAGTTGATTTTTTTTTTTTTTAGTCGCATTTTGCAGTGCCTCCAGGAAAACCTGCGTTCTCCTCAGTGTTTGTCATAGAAGGGTGAACATTCACAGATGCAATTTATTCTTTGGTAGCAAAACTACACTTCACCTACAATGTGGCCATTTTCTGACTGCTGTCATTAAAACTGTTTGCCAGTGCCAATATGGAGGAATTGATACCCAATCTTTATTTGTGCCTTTTGTCTGCCCCAACCAGTTAAAACTGACAGTATTTGTGTTCTTTGACTCTTTATTGTCAAACGAGTGCAATTATTTGGACTTTTTATTTTTAGATGTGAATGTGTAGTATTCAAGTAGTTGGCCAATTCTACCTTCTACTTCTAATCTGAAAAATATTTTCCTTTTTATTTGGTTGCATTTTTTGTGATTTTAGAAGTGCCAGAAGTGTCAAGAATTCCTGTTATATAGATTTAATTCCAAAAAAGTAATCCTAAATAAAATCTAAATCATCTTAGCACAAAATCATGCAGCAGTCAGAGGCGAATACAACTATACATTAATAAAGATTCTAATAGCCAAGAACTATGAGTGAGTACTTCTCACTCATTTTACATCAGTAATGATTTAAAGTCATTGCGACTTATAGATGCATTTTTGTAACCGTATTAGAAGACCGAAACATGTCTTTTTAGATGTTTAAAAACATTTTTTACATTTATTTTCAGTTTTGAGGCTTCAGAAAATCTGATACTCACAAACATGCAAATCAACTCTCAGCTGTAGCTCGACAGGACTCATCTCCATCTTTGACTGTAAATAGGATCGTTTTTCGGGGAAACGTGTCACATAAAGCTTTATTTTTATGAATGTGTCAACATGTTTAAAGAGACTGCAGTTTTAATGTTATTTTTGTAAATATATTGTGGCAATATGTCCAGTTCAAAGAGACTTTGTATCAGATCAACATGTACTGTAAATGTGCAAGCATGAGAAACTACACTTCAGCAGTATGAATGTTCTTTGTTTTACTTTTTCTATTTTTCTGGCTGCAGAAAAATAAATGGACACTGAATGTACTTTCAAGCTGTGTTTGTAAGTTCTATTTAACTGAGTATGCTGTGTTTTTAACTGGTTTTTAACTGGTCCAAGGATGTGTTTGCTATGGCTGAGTGGTTCCCGACCTTTTTTGTCTGACGTACCCCCACAGTCCTATCAAATATCCCTTTATCGTACCGCTTGGATACACGGGATAGCTCTCATGGAACTGTGTGAAGTGAGTATTTCACTGCAAAGGAAACACTGTCTGCTGGATCCATGACTTGAATTCATAAACAACTTTTTCGTGATCTGTTCTTTGAGTGGGTTCAGTCAACTTGGCTTTCACACTACCACTTTTAACCATTTATTATTTTACATTTAGATATCTATTTTGGCTTTTCTGTTCACTTATTAACTGCTTTTTATACACTCAATCACAGCGCATAGTATTAAAATCAGGTCTGTGGGAAACTGGTGTGTCCTGGTTGCTGGTTATTGTGCCAATAAATATACTAAAACTTACACTACTAGTACACCCCGACTACCCTGCATTTTGACTCCTTGCCAACCCACAGACAGAAAATTAATCTGCAGCTATTTGGATAATCAACTAATCATTTGTCTTTTTTTCACGCACAAATGCCCGGCATTCATTCATTGTACCTTTTCTGTTTTATGTGATTTTCATAATTGTAGTGTGAATATTTTTGGGTTTTGGGCTGCTGATCGGATAAAAACAAGATATTTGGAGTTGGGAAATTGTGACGTAACATTTTATAGCCCCAGCTGATCGATTGCAAAAATAATCAGCAGATTAATAAAAAATGAAGATAACTGTTGCAACATTACGCCTTGGTAATATTTAAATGGACATATTAAGTGCACAATAACTTTAAAATGATGTACTAACTCAGTGTTTGACCTGACAAATGTGTGTTGTAAATTGAACCTCAAAAATAATTTAGAGATCAACCGTTGGCTCTCTGTCTCTGACAAACCCTTTAACAGATGCAGCTATTCTCATGATGGACTACTGTAACTGTAACAATGCTGCAATAGTTTCATATATACTATTAGCCATAACCATGAAAAAGAAATTCAACAAAACAAATGTAAGAACAACGTGATGGTGTATGTAGAAACCTTCAGGACTATTGCTTTGTATTTGACATTAAAGTGTTTTATTTCACTTTTTATAGCTTTGAATAAACAGTCTGAGTGTGTTTGCTGCTGATCTCTTGATCACAGGCAAGATTTGTAGTTAGTAGTTACACCACACATTTTCCATGTCTTCTTTCCTGCTGATTACCATATTGCGTGAGATTTAAGATGCTTTTTTTTGATTAGACATTTCTAAGAAGACTATCACTAACCACAGACGGCTGAACAGTCCTCACCAAAGCTGTAAGCTGTTGAGCTTTCAGCCCTGGAGCCCTTTTTCTCTTCATGGCATGCTGCCCTGAGGATATTTTAGTGCAGGGATAGGCAACCATGTGCCAGAGTGTGCTGAGAAAAAGCTGGTTTTTATTTCAGCTGATCGCTACAGCAGCTGAAGATGATCTGCTCAGTGAAATCAGCTGTCGTTTCCTGTAGACGTGGTAGAAATTTACAGGCACTTTAAAAGACTTCTGGTTTGCCTGATGTTTTTAAACCCAGGTTGAAGTGTTTGTGTTTCAGCAGCCACAAGGTGACACTGTCGCACACCGTTGAGGCTGCACAAGGTCAACCAAAATCAGTTTTCTCAGTTGATCCCATCATGGTGTAATAAGTAACAAGCTCTTTCTCATTGAATATTTACATTCTGGGAGATGAATGATTGAATGAATGATGATCTCTCTCAAGGAAATTGCTAGATTTCAGCAGGAAGTTTTTAATGCAGCCAAAGGTTGCCTCTAAATGAGGCAAAGGTACCGTGAGTGGATCTGATGGACTTCCAAATGAGGGGTGAAACTGGACCAGACTTACTCCAGACAATCTGCTTTGATCTACCAATCTCCCCTGTGATACCCAGCACTGGGAAAGCCTCCTCTACACCTTGTAGCCCTAAAGCAGAAGAGGCAGGAGGGTTTCACTCCCCCCCCTGCCCATCTCTCTTTCTTTACACACACACACACACACACATTCACCATCCACACCCACACTGGACTCTCTTTTGAAAGTCTAGGGCTTGATTTAAAATTCCTCTTCAGAGCGTGTCATGCATTTTATATGCATGGCGAGTGGGAGAGAAGAGGAGGGATTGCATGGGGCTCCAGCCCAAATGAACTTCCCTCCGCTGTTGGTCTCCTCAGGGATATATATCTACACACACACACACACACACACACACACCACTTTTTTCACTCCCCTCATTTTCTCGCACCCACTCAACTCTTTCAACATTAGTTTTACTGCATCATGCTTTTCACAAATTCCACCGAGCAGCAAGAGTGCCGTAGCCTTTGAAGACAAGTGTGATCAGAACAGAAGCAGGGGGTGGAAAAAAAAAAAAACCTGGCCGCAGGGCATTTGGGTTTTTGCACTCGTGTTTAGCAGCGTATGGAGCCGAGGAGGGAGGCTGACAAGTGCAGCGTTTGGGGACAGCTTTGATGTCTGATGGGGTGCGGCTGCTGCTCATGCACCATCCCTTCACAAGGAGACTTGTCGCGTTGACACAGCCAGCCTTATATTTACAGTTCATAGCTGTGGATAGATCACAGATAATCAAAAAATGAAAAAAGCACTGTTAATAAACTCAGGGGTGTAGCACAAAATTCTGGACCTGTACATAAGCAGTCTCTATGGGCCCCTCCCTCCATCACGGTCACTGTTATTCATTCTAGTATCTGTGGACCCTCCTTACATGAGCACCCTGTATACTCAGTCCCCCTTCCTCCCCTCTAATCCTACGCCTTGGTTGATACACAACTCTCCATCTAAACATCTCTTATTCTCTTTCTGTCTTGCTGACGAGCTGAAGAGATGAAGCTGAGAATCGATAAAAAAAAGCAGAAGCAACATGAACTTGGACTGCAGCTGCTTGAGAAATCTGGTTTATTAGGAACAATATGATCCCACTAGCTTATCGTGGATATAGCAGTAAACAACAGAAACACAATTCACCTTTTTTTTAAGTGCTACAGGTTTGTGATTATAGACATAAAACAGTACAGCAACCATAGTGCCTACATTCATATATGCACAGAGAATATAAAAAGTTACAGTATATTGCTGTTAAACTGTTCTTATTCCTGCTCATAAGTCACCCTCTGTCTCTTCCGCACACTAAGAATATCACACACTGTGAGCTGTTGTAGTGAGAATGGGGTGGTTTATAGCGATAACTGAGACAAGGTTTAAATCTGGCAGGTCAACATTTTTACAGATAAGCACTGAATGGGAGCACAAAGTTGACAAAAGTCAAGCTGATATATTACAGTAACACTAGACAAACCCCCCACAGAGAGATCGGAAAACCTCGCTTAATAAACCCAGCGAAGTGAAGCGACACGTGTTCTTGTTAAGCTACTTTTGTGATTTTTTTTGTTTTTTTTTTAAATTAAAGATTAATACAAGTTAACTTTGGTTTCCAGCTCTCTAGGACTATACTGTAAATCTGTGGCAGTTTAAGCTGTAAGTAAAAGTTAAATCGACAGTATAGCAGCCTTAAGCCAATATTAATACAACACAGAAATTCACTTTTTAAACATTTTTTCTTGTTATAATAGCAGCCAGGGGAAAAAAATAGTTACAGTGTGATTCCATAGAATAGAAAAAAGTGAAAAAAACAGACAATTTTTCATTAAAGTACTGTTAAAAAAATCTGTGATCTGGTACCTATCAATAAATAGAAAATGCAACTCCTCTGCTGTTCTTTGTTATCTTCTACGCTACTCTGTTATAAATATGGTAACACACAGTGAATAATTGTTTGTGTGAGGACAGTATCTTTCATCCATGCAACAAAGAAGTTGAATATTTTTAATGACGGGAAAGAAAAATCACTTTTTCATAATCAACTTGCTAAGTACTGTGTACAACAAAATATCTTGGAGCCTGTGAGCATTTCCAAAAAATTCTATCAGACTGTAACACAAGACAAACATCAATAAAACAGGCTGAGAGGAACAAATCAATGAATGAATGCATTTGCAGGACTGGAGAGAAGGGACATCTCAGGTTCCAGCACTCGGGACACACTGGCTTTAGTCCTGAACTGAAACCCTGCTGCCGTGGTATTCTCTGTCATCTGTGGCCAGGCGAGGTTTTCTCAGTCCACGTCAACAAGCGTCTTTGTCATAGTGGATTCTAGCGTTACCGAGTTGCTGCTGGGGCCTCAGCAGCTGGAGGACACATGTTGACAGGGTCAGCTCTGAAAGCCTAGGTGAGCCCAAACAATCGGACCACAAATGGAGTGAGTTAAGCGTAAGAAAGCTGCAACAGAGGTAGAAAATAGAAATGAACTCATAGCTTTTTTAGAGTTGTTTGGTGCTAATCTGATCATATGTTTAAAGGGGAATCGTTTTTAGCAGAGACGCGGTCTCGTTCACGTCGCTTTACTTGAGGAATGCACACTCAAAATCTTGTCTGTGTAGCAGGGGCCTACTCCCTTCTTAAGATTCAAAATGCAATTTTTACTTCTACCTCGCTCTTGTGCTGTGCTCAACATTTTTCTCTGTATATCTGTCAACATATGACACTTTTATGCAACAACAGGCTTCTTCTGCATGTTTTTTCTCTCCTTGAGAAATTCCATTGTCTTTTTCTGCTGTAAAAGTACACAATTTGGAGTTTCGGCGTGCTGCAAATATTAAAACCAACATACAACTCGCAGTCAAGGAGCCTTTTAAAAATTCTGCAAAAGAAAGCTCAGCAGACCTCTGTCTTCCACTGGCCCTTCCTCCTCTTATTAAAGGCCAGGGGGGCATATAATGGTGCAGTGTGTTCAGAGTTCACTGGAGCTGTCTGAGGAGTGAAAGCAGTAGACACACAACTGGTTGTAGCAAGCTGTTTCCATTATACATTCTGAGCAGCTGTTCTGTGGAGGAAGTCCTTTGAAGGACGGCTGCAGGGGGGGTAACTGGAGTCCACAGTTCAAACGGGGTTCTTCACCCTAACAAGCAGGGGCGGGGCTGCGGCCGCTTCCTCTCTGACGCGGGGGCATCATTGTCCCTGCACCCCCATCATCAAGGCCTCCAAGCAGAGGGCCCCGCATGAGCTCTGACACATGCAACGTCTACACTAACACTCAACATTCATGCTATAACTAGTACAGAAGCAGGCAGAACAACAAAAATCCTCCCTTCTCCTCAGCTGTACTCAGCTTAGTGTGATTGCATCTAAGCTGCCTCTTTTCAAGACGTCCTTTGCTCCGTTTGGGCTGTTCATCTGGTTGCTTCAGTCGTTTTGATTTGTGTCTGTTTTGACGTGGAGGGGCGAGGAAGAGGGAGTTTCTTGAGAGAGGGCTTTGAAGAGAGCCAGATTCAAGAGTCTGAAGGTTGTCTCTGAGGGGTCAGGGGCGTATTTAAAAGGAAAAAGAAGAGGCACGAGGAAGAGGAGGAGGAGGAGGGTGAGAAATAAAGTCTCGCTGGTAGAAGGAGGGCTCATTCACTTCTGTGTAAGGTACGCTCCGATGGTGAGGCTAGCTGCTCCAAGCGCAGCCACACCGAAGACCGTCTTAATGGAGGGCCAGGAGCAACTGAAGACGGAGTCCCTCTGTCTGTCATACAGCTCCACAAAGGCATCCTGGGAGAGAGACAGGAAGAGAAAGACAGACAATTAATTGGGCTGGCAAAGAACATGTGTTTACCTATGTGTTTGTTCTTGCGTCAGCTGGTTATCTAATGGGTGGAGTCAAAAGAAAACACCACACAGGATAAGACTGGCATCTCATTTGTTCCTTCTGAGAATGTAAATCTTCAAAACAGGTCACACATAAATAACATATATATATATATATATATAATATATATATATATATATATTTTTTTTTTTTTTTTTTTTTTAAAGGCTCAGTCATTTGCTAAAACAGCTGGGCACTGTAATATTTAACAAACGAAATCTCAGGGGCAGATATCTCAAAATCTGAGTAAATTAGACAAAAATATCTGCATGGCTGGATATCTCTAGAGGTACGTGAGAAAATATATCTTTGTGTAATTTGGGTGAACTGACCCTTTAAGAACTAAATCCCTTGGCCACCACCAAAAAATGAGTGGAAATAGAGTGTTATTACACCAATTCTGCAAGCAGATCCATTAATGTGCAGCGCTGACACCCTCCTACACACAACCTCAGACGCCCTTCATACAGACAGACACAGCACACCCACTAAACAAACACGCAAATTACTAAAAAGACCCCATTCGCAACTGCACGTCAACAGATTCTAGTGGGTTTTTTTAGCATGTGGACGAGCGGTGCAGCACTCAAGCATAAATATATTACTGTTACTCCGAAGGGGGGCTCTGCTTTCTACTGCTAAAAGGAGTTTTTAAAAGCAGCCTGTTACAAATTGAGAATGTATGAGTGTATGTAAGATCTGTGGAGAAAATACCACGGCTGTGTGTCTTTAGATGAGGAAATACAGACATCTGCTCACAGGCAGTGACAGCAGGAACAGCTGGACAGGAAGTCATGGTGCTAAGCTCCTCGCTCTCCCACACACACACACACACACACACACACACACAAGCAGATTATCCTGAACCCATCTAGAATAGTGTATTTTAGAGACGTTTAAGAGAGGCTATATCAACAGTTTCCGATTGATCATCAGCTCTTTTGTTATGACACTAACCACATTATTAGCAGTGTTGTGAAGCTGTACATTTGAGCTCCTTTGATGCCTTTGTTTTAAGCTGTAACTTGACCTATCTGTGAACAATGGTGAATTGTTAAGTTTAATTTACTACTACATTACTGTGTCAGTTCCCATGGGAATCTATTATCATTCTATTTTAACCCGACTCAATTTAACTCAATTTACCTACAGTAATTATGTTTTGTGTAATTCTAACTGGAATAAATGCCTTTTATTTCGACCTTGATCTAGTAGAAGCAAAACTGGGTCATTATACTCGTTTCACAAGTGTCACATTATAATATACAATTTCCTTTTATCAAACAAAAGCCCACACAGGACTAAAAAAAAAGGAGACATCCATTCTGAAGTGCTGTGGGGAGACAAAAGTATTTCCTGTTTCGCTCTCCTCCCTTTCCGTCCTGTCGCATTCCTGAGGCTGGGGGCCAGAACAGTGTCACAGAGGAGGAAGGATCAGCAGTTTCTTCCCACTTTAGGCCCTCTGGTGTCAAAACACACTGTGCTCTTAAATCAGCCGGCAATATCTTTAACCACATGGCATTTCCTTTGTTGCAGCTCAGCGCTTTTAATTATCCAGGGCTAAAACAAGACTAAGAATCTACAGCCATGCTAGCAGCTCAGTGAGACTGAACCCACAGCTGCGCTTTGAGCTAAATGCTAACGTCAGCATTGCGAACATGCTCACAGTGTGCAGGTGTGTTTGCCATTTTCATCAGCATAGTTTTTAACGTCTGCATGCTACTATGTGCTATTTAGCACGAAACACAAACTATGTTGGGAATGCCCTTAGCTTTGCAGGATCACATCTTCATACTGGGGGGGGGACAAAACAAAATTTCATCGCAATTAATCCAATAGCTGCTGAGATATTTTATTCAAAACCACAAGTTAACCTCATGGTGGCACTAGAGTAAAAGGATCATCATTAGGATTCATCCTCAGGGAACCATGAATGTGTGCATATTGCGATGTTTCACAGGATGAGAGAAAACATTGACCTGCTTTTGGTGCTCATGTGGAATCGCCAGAGTCCTATGGATTTATCCTCTGGGGACCATGAATGTTTGAAAAAGATTTCATTACAATCAGAAACAAACAGTTTTTGAGATGTTTCAATCTGGGTCAACCAACACTGCTATGTCAGATAGCTTTATTCTAGAGAACTCTGAACAAGCCTGTTTTTTTCCAGTGATGATACCCCCCTCTTCCTCTCCAGGATTCAGGTATTAATTAGAGAACAAGCTCTTCAGTCTGAGGAGTGTGTGTTAGTTGGCAAAAACACAGCCTCCATCATCTTTTTTTCCACCCACTGCAGGAAAATAACAGTTTGCTGAGGCAACAACACAAACCAGCCACCAGGTCCAGTAGCAAATGCATGTGACTGACCACTAGCAAGGCTAAATGGCAAAATGGCAAACTCATGATGTGGGTTCTCAGTATGTCCCAGACAGTCGGCATAGATTATCATCTATTTAAGTCTGAAACAAAAGCGGGCCAATTACTGTAAGAGGTTCATCAGAGCGGTGATGGATGTTTAAAAGAATCCCGCAAGGGCATGGACGGTAATAACTCCAGACTCACCCAGGGGAGAGCTGGCAAGCAGAGATAGAAGAGGGAAGGAGGGAGGGAAGGAGGGTGTCAGGTGGATATCATGAGACTGAGGCATGCTCCACTTCAGGTCCGGAAACTTTTTCACCCACACGTTAGCAAGCAGTGCTCTCACAACCATGTGAGTAGTGTGAAAAACAAACCTTGGAACTTTCTATTTTTTCCTCCTCTCTCCCTCTCCCTCTTTCTCCTGCTGTATTGTCCATCATTATGAAAACCTGAGCCTTTGAAGAAAATAATAAGCAGCTGGCAAAGGAGGACACAGAAGGTTGACAGGGACAGGAAAGGACAAAACATCTGCATTCATCACATCAACAAAAGACTCTACAATCCTCAAAACCTAATTTCATTGCCCTGCAGCAAACCATCTGCCATTGACAGCAGGTGTGCATCTGGGAAATAAAGTCCAGGATGCAGTTCTCTACAGTATTCATTTTTTGGATCAATGGCTTTTTAAAGGTCACAGCCGTCCTACAGAAGCCAAGAATCCAATGGGAAAATGCCTAGCCAGGTTTACACATTGCCTTTCCTTCATTTTTTTTGTTGCACACAATGAATTCCTCAGAGAGACACACACAGTGCAGGAGTCTGACTGAACAGCAAGGACTTGAGAGGATCCCATACTCAGCCATGGGGTGGCAACTTGCTACCCCGAATGTCATGGTTACCCAGGCTGGAAGCTTCACACATGATTTGCTTTTCCCACCAGCGGGAGAGAGACTGTCCTCGACCTCTGATTTGTTTTTCACATGATTTAGACCTTAGAGGTTTTGCTCAGCTTCTTTCTCGTGGACACAAAGAGACTTTACTCTGTTGTCTTCCTCGGATGGCCTTATGCTGTCTTAAGGGCAACAGGAAATACCAAACATTTGCCAGTTCCTTTGGGTATCCCCTCGCAATTGGGAATTATCCCTCAACTTGTGTGGAAGATAATGAGTCATCTTGTGCGCATGGCTAGCTCCGCTAAAACCCCAAGCAGCGCTTTCGCCAAAACAGAAAAAATGATTAGGCAGTCATGTCTGTTTTGGGACGTTTCTGTGGGTAATTGTGGGCAGACTGAGGCTGAGAGAAAGGGATGTGGGTTAAAGTTCAACTTATAATTAAAGGGCCTGTTGTGGCTTTGCTGCTATATTCACCTCTGAACCGAGCTTCTCCCCACGCTCTGTTTATTTCCTAAGCATTCACATAGTAACATACTTATAATATTGCATACGCTGCCGCCGCCACCCCTCTTTGATTTTCTAATGAGCTTCTTGCAGAATTCTCCGCAGCTAATTAAAGTCAAACAAAACTCTCATTTCAGGAGCTGAGGGGGAGTAATGGGAGATGAAGAAAAATGCAAGGAAGGCATTAATATCCTTTGCAATTGATCTGTTTTGAACGTAACATACACAGATGCAAACAACAACAACAACAACAACAACAGCTAGAAAAAAAAACACCCCTCTCCAGACACAATAGGTGACAGGACAGCAAGCTCTCGTCTGGCAGCAAGGTCAGGTTCGATCAAGTCTCTGGAGTGTCATCCATCGACTGGCTCTGCAAAAATGAGATGACTGAGGAGTTTGTTGCAATACTCATTACCCAGTGAATCCCCCTGTGTCAGCACCGCCTAACAGCTTGGAGCTGAGGGCACTGAGCCTTTCACTGCACTGTGACAATACTGCAATACTTGGAAACAACAACCTCACAGCCAAGTGGTGACAAACTGTGTGGAAAGCTGTACAAATCTGGAAAATACACCCCAATCAATACCCAAACTTTTAGTGGCTCAGACTAACAAAACAGCATTGCTTGTTTAAATGTCTGAGTAGCATCCTTGGTTTAAAAACATATAACACAATTAACCGATTAGTTGATCGACAGAAAATGGTTTGGTGTTTTGGGAAATATGCTCATTCACTTTCTGGCAGAGAGTTAGTCTGTGAAATACAAAGCTGCCATCAACAGCCGATGAGCTTAGCTTTCCACCTTGTTTTTTTTTTTTTACAGACAAGGTATAACGTGAATTATTAGTGAGCTTTAGAGGTGTTGGCAGGCAGTATTTTTTACCTTCGGACAAAGCCAAGCTAGTTGCGTCCTCCTGTTTCCAGTCTTTGTGATAAAATATACAAACCAACTGCTGGCCGCAGGCTTATCTTTAGCTATCTTATGGACAGAGTGAAAGAGAAAGAGTGGTATTGATTTTCCAAAGTATTCCACTAACACATTTTTTAAAGACAAAATAAATAAATATATATATTCTCTGTTCCAGCTTTTTTTAAAATGTGAATGAAGTGTTTTTCTCTGCTTTGTATCTTTTTTCATGAATTAT